AAACATATATTTTATTCAAAAATAAAAACATCATCGCTTTCTCAAAATCACATAAAGTCATATTATAACATCGACTGAGATAAAGAATAAAATAAAATATTAAAATCACAATGTATCTCGCTGCATTACGCGAGTTCGCTTCAAGTATATATAGATATATAGATTACCCATTTAAAAGAATTTGTTTAACTAATTTCCTTTTGTTCCCTTCATCCAAATTTTTTATATGACCCGACTCGGTCGTTTAGGGCCCCGGCAAATGCCCAGATCCACCCGGCCCGTTTTAGCGAGGGTGCCAATGCCATTGCCACGCCCATTTCCTCGAGTAAAAACCCAGCCCTTTCACGACGCCTCCTCCATCTCTCCTTGTCTTCAAGCTCACAACAAGTAAAACTAGACTCACCAATGGCTTCATCATCGACTGCCGCACGAGAATTACAGAAAGAGTTGGAGGCCAAAGCCAACGATCTGAGCAAACTCCAAAAAGGCAAGTCATGATCATCATCCTTTGATCTTTTGAGTTTTGGAAGCAATATCTGTTACAGAATCGTAATTTTTTTTATTTGTATTACGTCATTCAGATATATCAAAGAACCACCAAGTCAGAAAGAAGTACACCATCCAGCTTGGTGAAAACGAGCTCGTCCTTAAGGTCTTTCACTTTGGCATTACTTTATTTTACTGTTCTAGAAATTGGTTTTAGTTTTTCTTTAGGATTTGTTGAAGTAATTGAGTCTATGTTAGCTATAACGATGTTTAAGATTGAAGCATAGAAATGATCATTTCAATTAAGGTAGAGTCCTGGCTGTTTGAATTTAGTTGACAGCAAAGAAGTACATGCAAAGAATTATGGGTTAATTTTGGAAAAGACTCCATGCCAATTTTAAGTAGTTTACAAAGACCAACAGGTTTGATATCGAGAATCAAGTATGGCTCTTTTTGGATGAAAGAGGGAGTATTCATCAGTTAACCCAGTCAACCTCTAGTTCCTTCCTTTTAGATATCTGATACTACAGTTTACTAGACTTGTATATGATTTAAAGAAAGTGAAATTATATTACTATAGCTTCAACATTAAAGCCGGATGTGAGCAAAGTGTTGTGAAAGTAATACTCTTCTTAACTAAATGTATTCAGATTTAATTGTTCTCCTTCTTTGATTTTGCTTGTAAAGGAGTTGGATCTGTTGAATGAGGATGCAAATGTCTACAAATTGATAGGACCAGTGTTGGTAAAGCAGGATCTGGCAGAGGCAAATGCAAATGTTCGGAAGAGAATTGAATATATTTCAGCTGAATTGTAAGTTTACTTTGTTTTAAATTTTATCATAAGCTTATGGGCCCCTGTTTTAGAACCAATGATTGATTTTTTGTTGGACAGAAGTTTTAATGGATTTGACTTGCATGCTTAATTAACTGGCTCGAATGGGTGCATTGTATCCTATTGAGCTTTTCTATATTATTGGACCATTGCATTGAAGGGAGTAACTAATGTTAGAAACCATTATGGTGGATTGTGTTGCTCAAGAACAAAAAAACTGCCAGAGAACTTTTTAATCTATTTACGACATTTTGTTGTTATGTTTCCATGATCCTGATTTGTTGCTTGAAGTTTTTATCATCCTTTACAGCATATGTTTCTTTTTAATTTATTCTCTGAATATTGTTCTCTCCAATGTCCCATAACGTGATAACTTCATGTCGTATTCTTCAATGACGATATTATACAAATCCATTTTTAAACCAAACTTGATAGCTTTTGTTTAGATTAAAAGTTTTACTTTATTTTCATCCATAATTTGGTAGGTTATTGATTGATATCAAAAAGTGTGAGGATTTGTTCGCTTACCATAGGCCAACACACATTCCCATTGTACTTCTAGATTGGTGATAAAGTAATGTTTTCATTGTCATTGTAGAAGTTGAACACAGGTGGCTCTACATATGTAATTGTTGTTGTTTATTGTTAATGAAACCGTACTCTATGTTCTCCAACAAGATGCAAGAAGCAGTTTTCATCATCCAAACCAAATTGGATCTTCATGGTCCCCAAATTTGATTTAGTCTCCCTTGGTCTGGTTTAGCACCTTTCCATCTAATTAGTTAAGTAATTAAATAATTGATATTTGTGCCAAAATTTTGTCAGAGCAAGGCTGGGGAATTCGTAAGCGAGGGTGACTTTGTAAGCTCCTGTAGAAGGAAACAAGGTGTGTTTTGTGTTGATAGAAATGTCAAGTTGCTAGCATTATCTTCTTAGAGATCTTACAAAACAAGGTCAAACTAGATGGTAGAGGGACTCAAATAGATCAATTTATGTTTTAAAGTCAATCCGGATGAATTTTTTCTTCTTCTCGAAGCATCAGAGAGAGATCCATTCTAATACAACAAATCTTCTCCTGAACAAAGTGTTTTATGCCCTTACAGTTACCATCTTGTAACTCTTAACACGTTATCTAGTGCATTGGAAGTGCTTTGTGTGGCGTATTCGCAATGCAGAGTGTAATGTACATGGGAAAACAATTATCAGTCACACTTATGGCAGTTTGATTGTTCTAGCAAGAATTTGAAGTAAAAAGCATACTCTGATATCAGCTTGCACTTGGAAGAATGAAAACAAAAAAAAGAATGAAAGAGGAGAAAACAAAGGAAAGGCTCCTTTGCTTTGACAAATCCTATATACAGCAGCACCAATTTGATATTGAGTTTTTAGTTTCCAGGTAACATTGGAAACATTCTCTATTGCGTTTAACTTGCTGAGAGATCAAATTCTCTTTTTGGAATGCTAGGTTGTTGGATTGTGATGGGAACTAGGGAATGATAACCAAAAACACGAACTGAGAGGCATAAACTACCACCATTAGAGCCTTGTTTGATTGTTGAATTACGAGCTTGATGCTCTCTCGCACATTCTAAGATCTTATTCATGTTATAAATCACAGGTAAGCAGCTGTTTTCCAGTGCATGAGATAATGATGTTGCCTATGTTTTTGATATTGAAATGTGACAATTCTTAGTTTTTGCCTACTTTTCTTTGTCTTCTTTTGTGTTGCTTATAAGTGCATTGCACTTAATATTATGCTTTGTGGATGCATTTCAGTTTGTTGGGTTGCCACTTTCAGCATATTGTTGATTTACATGTAAAAAGTATATCTCGTCACCGATAAAAGCTATCCAGGAGTTCTTACCCATGAAAATTATTTTAACTGTGTGCATGATTTTTCACAACAGGAAGCGTCTGGATTCAACTCTTCAGGATTTGGAGGAAAAGCAAAATAGCAAGAAAGAGACGGTCAGTGACCTTTTCTCTTTTCGTGTTGAAAAATATTGTATGTGGTGATCTCATTCACATACTATAATATATGATTCATGGGGTCTCATCTATATAACTATCGAGTCTATAAATGAACCATGTGAGCACTTAAAACTCTATGCTTTTGTGTACTGCCTTTTGGCAGTACGCCTATTATAAGCCTGTAATGAGATTTACGTATGCAAGGAGGAAGGTTAAGTGAAGTTCGAGGAGGGGTAGTTTGGGGAATTAAGAGTTGTTGTGGTGCTTTCTGTTTGTTTGTTAGAAGCAGTTAAGGTATATAAATAAGAGTTGTTGGTAGGGAGTTCAACTTGGCTGTTCTGGAGAGTTCTTCAGCCTCTTGAATGCTGAAGTAGTGTAACCATTCAACTAAGACTGACTATTTGTCGGAGCTGTAATTGGCCTAGGCACTGTTTGTTTGGTTTTCCGTTAAGTCCTGTATGGATGAAGTTGTCTGTTCGGATTAATCTGTCTGTATAGATTATGAATGTTTTTGTTTGGGAGGGTTTTTTAATAGATGAAAGGAGTGTTTTTTTTTGAATTGGGAGAGACAGATTCTGAAAAAAACTTGGCTTTCTGCATAAAGCTCCCCCTAGAAGCTTACTGAATGTGTCACTTTTTATATCATCAAGCACCACCAAACAGTCATATATAGCTAACCGAATAAGCTGTGAATCTCATTAAGCTGCTAACAAACAGACAGACCCTTAGTGTAGAAAAGCCTACTTTTCCAGATAAGCAGTCATGCTGCACCTTGTGGTTTGTGATCAGAGGGACAGAGAGAAGAAGTATTCTTATTTACTGAATGAATAATTACAAAGAAGAGGCGTGTATATATATAGACACACATAAGAAACCCAAACCCAAATAAGCAAAGGCCCGTACGGCCCAACAGAAACCCTAAACAGACATAATATTTACAATATATTCTAACACTCCCCCTCAAGCTAGAGCATAGATATTGATCATGCCTAGCTTGCTACAAATATAAGTGATTCGACTCCTGGGTAGTGCTTTTGTGAAGACATCGGCTAATTGATCCCTGGTTCGAATATGGGGAGTTGAGATAGAACCATCCTCTAGCTTTTCCC